ATTGGCGTAAATGAAAGTGATATCATTCTTGAGGTTTGGTTTTGCGATCAATTCAAGCACTTCTGATATGAAAACACACTCTTCTGGGTTTAACTCTTGGACTACATTTGAAAACTCCTCTAAATATTTGGCATAATATTCAACACCTTTTAGCCACAGTCCCCAACGGGTCGGCACCGGTTCGGGAGGCAATGGAATATTTGGATACATTTGTTTAAACAAATCGCTACGATTGGGAGCTTTTTGAAAAACTTTTTTCCCGCAACTGACCAAACGATTGATGTCTTTGAACAGAACCATCATATATTGACATACATTATGTAACCCGTGTGCCAGACATGTGAGATGTATTAACTTAGGGTACGTTTGACATAAAGTTTTACCCGCTTTTTTCATATATAATATTTCGCGGCGTCGGTGACTAGTAATAGCACTTTTGGGAATTGAATACCGTTTGGCCACAAAATATTCACTGAATCATTAACTGACTGAACAATTGTATAATTGTTAGCCCTTTCAACAAACTGTACATTAATTAAATATTTTTCTGTCATTTCTGGATTCATTGAGCCGACGATTACGTTAACAACTTTACGTTTGAGTCTGTCTTGAGTTTCGTCCACTTGTATCCAAATGTATTGATCTTTTAATCGATTTCTTATTGTTTCAATTGTCTTATCATAAAGTGGTGTCAAATTTCTCCATAGAGTGGACGGAACAGGAGTTTTAAATGTAGTGTACTTTTCAATAAATTCTTTGGCCTCAGGTTTTAGCAATCGATGGAATGGTATATTCAGTGACACAAAAAACTTTATTAAATCTGCAGTAAATTGATGTTGATTTCGGCCAAAAAGTTCTTGAAGTGATTGTTGTTTGGATTTAAAATCTTTACATTTAGTTAAATGTGTTGCTGTTTTCATGTGTTGATCGACATGTGATTTTTTGCCACAATTAACAACACATTCACAACACTTACAATACAAAACATGTTTTTTAGTCATTTCATTGGTTTGTATGACCAAAACATTACCATTGTTTCCGATTAACCGTTTCATACGTGATAATTCACTTTCTTTTATCTTCGGCATTTTGTTTTGTCAACAATTTACACATTAAATAAGTTTTGATTTGATTTTGTTTGTGTTTTACACTCAAATACACACAAAAATGTGAAAAACGTGCGAAATAGTCACGTATTAGGTATGAAACGTTCAAATAGTCAGTTACGTGTCAAATAGAGTAAATATCCATTTTATTTGAAAGCCATTTGACTGGGGGTTATGTACTAGCCAAGTGTAGGGCTCAGACCCCCATTCTGATAATTGGCGATTTTTATCCACCATATCCATTTACGTTAAGGGACCATATGAATTAAAGTTACCAATCAATGGATTGAATGCATGCACTCAATGGGTCAGCGCTAATGCCATTCTCTATGCCATATCTATATCTATCTACTGATCCCTGACATCAGTCACCATAAGTTGATTCAGCACTTGAGTGCTTCACTCCTATCATAAATGACCTGAACTCAGATCGGCTCTCAAAACCACTGAAGAAAGGCGTCAAAGAGGATCATTTATAGGTAAAATAAACTTTCGGTAAACTGACCCCCAATACATGATCGGTTCACATCCCGAGTCTGGGGGTAAGACTATTAACCGCTAAAAATAGGTGGTATAGGTAAATGCAATTCCCTGGTAATGAATAATAATTAATAACAATAATTAGCAGTCAATGACTTTATCTGTACTTTAATATCATTTTATGTTCACATTATTTAAAGTCGTGTCAAATGTGTAACGAAATAAATACTGAATTAAATTAAATTAAATATAATATTAGTTTTTATTTAATCACTTCATTTGATCTCAAGATATGGAACAACAGATGAAACACAAGAATATATTGACTCTGATTTTAGTTGATAACGACGATGAGAGCAAAGACAACAAACAACAGGTATTTCACAAACAATTCACTGTTTATTGAGTTTTCATTGTTTTTGTCTCACATTTTAGACACAAATCTATGCAAAAGACTCTTTGGATCGATTCGGTGACGACTTATTTGGACTTTTGTTGTCTTATCTCTCACTCGAAGATCGGTTTCGTTTGGAATGTGTGTCCAAACAGTTCCAGAGGACAGTCTTCGGGAGTGTTGTGGACATCAATATTGATGAGAAATTTATGATAAAAATGATAAATGCGAAGAAATCAGGTATGGAAATGATTGATACAATTGCTATAAAGAATGGAAACATTCAACGCATTGACTGCAGAGGAATAACCGAAAAATACGAGGAATACATTCCCGAAGTGTTGAACACATTTCGAGACAATTGCCGGCATTTGCGGGAAATTTACTGCAATTTATGGCCAAACTGTGAGAAAACAATGCTAATAGTCGGACCACTGGTCACACGAATCCGTTTAATTAACCCTATACAATACAATATGCAACTCTATAAAACAATCCCAAAATCGCTCATTCATTGCCACCGATTGTCTGAATTAAGTGTCGGTTCGTTGTCTAGAGTTTTCGATTCCATTTCCGCGGAATTATTTGTAAAAAATTTACAAAAATTTTCATTTAGTTATCATTTAATTGTTGATAATAAGGAACTGTTGTCTGCATTTGTGGCACACAATCTGTCCCTCAAAAGTGTTAATGTAAATGTTAATTCTGCCACTAATGGGACTCTAACCGAACTGTCGTTACAATTGTCACGATTAACACAATTACGGGAATTGACACTCGGTTTGCGTCGAATGAATAGCGAGAACTCATTGAATGAATTTTTGCGTACAATTGGCTCAAACTGTAAACAATTGCATCGATTGTCACTTCAAATTTCTTATAGGGGATTTACACCAGCACTTAATGTCCATTCGTTGAGTTGTTTTATTCAATTAAAACGTTTGGATTTTAAATCCTATTCCAGCGATTGTGAAGTGTTTGAACCGTTGAAACTCTGCCACCGGTTAACACATTTAACACTCAATAAATTCAAAATGAGTGAAAAATTATTTGAAAATTGTGAGAATAATTGGTCGCGACTTCAATACATGTTTATTGATTGCTCTACTTTTGACAGCGAGTGTTTGTCACACCTCTCAAGACTACCGGCGCTGCAAACCCTTGTCATTTATATAGGCTATAAAAGACATCGTATTATTAAAAATAAAATTTTCAACAATTTATTGTCCAAAAGTCCTAAATTAAAAAATATTGAAATACATTACTATAAAGTCTCAAAGTTTTATTGCCGTAAAACTAAATTAAATATTTCGTTATTTATAAATACAATACAATTATTTAATAATATGCTTAATAGATTTATTTCGTGTATAAATTAAATTTATTTTAATATATTATAAATTTATTGTATGTAAATTAAAGCTAATTAATTGTGGCATAACATCTTTTAAATAAATTACTTTACATTCAATTTATTAAAATTAACAATTAATTTATCATTAATTAAATGTACAAACTTGTAAGATAAATAATTACATTTCTAATTTTCATTAAAATTACATTTTTGCCTATTACATTTTTGAGATTTTTGTAAAATTTGTATAATTTTCTATTGAATTTCAAAACCCATTCAAATCAGTCTAAAAAACATGTAATAAATTATGTAATAATTTATAAGACTAACAAATAACAATTGTTAACAAAACGGATCCAGAGCATTTTGTTGATAACATGGATTAGTTCACAGATTATATGAATTATAACACATAGGTTTTACTGTAAGTCATAACTGCTATAATAATGTTATAACAATCTATGTAAATACTGAATTTATGGCCAATATAGAATATAAAAACATTTATTGCTGAACAATTAAAAAAATGATATTTTTATTAATATTATATAATGAGTTTTCCAAAGACGTAATCAATTAAAATTTTATTTGAAAAGCATGTGCTTAGTCTACCCATTCAGCCCCGAACGCTGATGGAAAGTGGCCGATGACGACAGGCCAGAGGGCCGTACTGTAGACGACAAGCCAGAGGGCGGTACTGTAGACGATAGCCCAGAGGGCCGTACTGTAGACGACAAGCTAGAGGGCGCTACTGTAGATGACAGGCCAGAGGGCCGTACTGTAGACAACAGGCCAGAGGGACGTACTGTAGACGACAAGCTAGAGGGCGCTACTGTAGATGACAGGCCAGAGGGACGTACTGTAGACGACAAGCTAGAGGGCGCTACTGTAGATGACAGGCCAGAGTGCCGTACTGTAGACGATAAGCTAGAGGGCGCTACAGTAGATGACAGGCTAGAGGGCCGTACTGTTGACGACAGGCCAGAGGGCGGTACTGTATACGACAGGCCAGAATGGGGTACTTTAGATGACTGTCCCGATGGCTGTGCTTTAGGCGATTGAAGTGTTGACGATAGGCCAGAGAGCGTTGCGTTAGACGACAGGTAATAGAGTTGTGTTTTGGATGAGTCAGGCGTTGATTTAGCCATTTTTGTGTAAAACTCGGGCGGAATGCGTGAATCAAAAAATTTGGTCAATATTTTTGATAACACCATTGAGTAAGTTTTAAAATTATGTGAGGGGTAGGACTCTTTGAGTTTATCACACGTGGTGGCAGCCGTAACGTTGTATATCTCCACTATTCTCGTATACGCCTTCGAATAGGGCTCTATTCGCTTCCGGGCGTAATCCCTGAAACCATGCTGGTCATCGTGCATTGCGATTAATTCATTAAAAAAGTTACGCGCAACGCTGTAAATAATAATAGTTTTAATCAATAAGGGAAATTAGATTAATGATATAAAATTAAACAATAAACAAGGTTAAATTTAACAAAAAAATATTGGCTACACAAACTTTATATAAAAGGCTGTTCAAAAAGTTCCGGTTGTGTTTCTTGGACGATTCCTCTGGAACTGCTGGAGTGACAATATTGAAACTTCAAACATATATAGATCCACGTCGGGGAATTTTTTGACATAAAAAATTTTTACGATCACGTGACTTTTTATCTGCCAATCGGAAAACCGAATATATAAGGCTGTTCAAAATCTTTTAATCGGCACTCTTTGGCCACCTTTACCTGTTTCTGGACGACAAGACCCGGAGGTGTCGGCACTCGACGGCTGGCGATGTCGTGAAATCGTTTGCTATTTGTTTTGTGATATAATTTTGAACTGTTTTTTGTTTAATTTAATTTTGGTGTAAAAAGTATTTACGAGTATTTCTCGATGTCATGCTTTGGGATCAGATTCTTGATGATAATAAAGCCCTGATCTTCGTATTGTTTTTGCTGCTCTGAAGTCAACCTCGAGTTACCATTTATGCTGTATTTAAATTCATTGCTCTTTGGATTAGTCTTCGGGAGACAAGAAAATAGTTTTATTTGTAAATTAAATAATGAATAACTGACGAGTAATTTAATAAACGGAACAAACAATTACCGCAATTGTGGCCAAACCTCGGTTTGGGTTTCTCTCAGACCAAAGGTTAACAAATAATTTACACACATTTTGACCACTTTTTTGCATTTGAAATGTTTTGGTAATTATAGCAAACATTTTACAATATTTTGGGTGAATTTAGTATTGATTTTCAGTTGTTTTTAACAAAACTATTAAATATTGCCTTAAATTATGTAACGTCTGTAAAAAAAAGTCAATAATTCAATTAATTATTTGATTAATTTTTGATACTTTGATTGAATTATTGACTATAATGTAACGTCAATTCACCAGATTTTTAATTAAAATTTTAATTAAAATTTGAGTATAAAATAAACTAATATTTAAATAATTAAAATATTTATATTAATGTTTTGATAACAAATAAATAAATTCCATATGAAATAAAAAATCAATTGATATGAAAATTATAATAAAACCTATTTTAGATTTGTTGAGATTTAGATAAGAAACTTAAGTAATCAAACATATCATATTTATATTAAATAACTCTCTCTCTCTCTCTCTCTCTCTCTCTCT